GAAGGTGTTGCAAGATGTGGTTGTTATGTCTTATTGTATTACTTAGATGGCAACAAATTAAGTTGATTTTTCTTCCCCAAGTTTGAGCCTGTTTTGCCCATGACCATAACTGCTGTGTGGGCCCTCCCTGTCCTTCATTCCTAATCCCGTGCCCCTTTGTTGTGTCTCCCATCCCATCTCAGCAGGTTGGGGGAATGAATGCAGGACCCGCATGGTCCCACTGTGGGTCAAACCACCACAGATGCCTACATCTCAGCAGGTTGTCTTTAAACTCTCCAAATCAAGGGGTTTTAAGTTCTGAAATGAAGCACAAATTGGGCAACACTCCTTTGAGGTGATTAAATGGAATGAAGACAGCAGATCTGCAGTCGGACTCTGTAGCGTGAAGAATAAGATGATATGGATGTTATAAAAAAAACAGTAGGAAAACTTCTCTGTCAAGCACATCTGGAAGGCCAAGTATGAGGTTACACCATTAGAAATGGCAGATTTTATATATTTAGTACCCAGGGTGGTGATGACCTCTTCTTCTGAGGTCCACAGTACACTTCATCACTCAGATGCCCATCCTTTTCTGCTGAAAGATTTCCCACCTGAGAAGAGACATTGAAATGCTCTCCTTAAATGTAGCAGTAGCTCTGAAAGGTCCCCATAGTCTTGTGGTGCTTCCTGAGATGAAGCATCCTGTCCGTGAGGAGTGGAAACTCTTAGTGCCTTCACTTGTATGGTGGATTTATTTATTATTTTCTTGTTTGCCAACAACAGGCTCTACAGAACATTCAAGGACAGCAAATACCTGTACATGTTGATGGAAGCCTGTCTAGGTGGAGAGCTCTGGACAATTCTCAGGGACAGGTGAGTTTTAAGAAACTGTTATCTTAAAAAGTGGAATATTTTCGCCTCTAGATAAGCGTAAGCAAAGGTCTTTATCCTTCATGGGCAAAATCTGGATCTTACCATGCTATGTTTAATTTAAGATCCCAGAAAGGTGGGGAGATATTTTTGTTTCTCTGCAGTTGACTAGAGACAAAGTGAATCCAGCCAGAACTGAGAATAAAGACTGATGTAGGTTGTGTCCAACACATACAAGGCTTTATGTAAGTGGAGACTTATCCAGAGCTGCTTTCTCATGGCTGCTCTGAAAAAATATAAAGGTAGTGATTGTAGCAATGGTAGTCATGTGATAAATTGCATCTATGACAAGTCTTTGACTGCCCTTTCCCTGTATCTTGAACTCTAAAGGGAACCCCTAAATAGCCAGTGGCATATATTAATTTTAATTTAATTAAACAAATTAATTATTATCTAGAACAATAACTCTTTACAACCACAGAAATGATTGCTGTGTCCTGGGTGCCCATGCTACTGTTTCTCAGCTTTGAGAGCCTGGCTGGAAGCTCGGGCACCTGATAGAGAACTATGGGATTGTCTTAAGGGTGAGAAAGAATTTGGGCACCAGGTATGATGGCAGAGAATGACCCTGCAGGGTGCAACCAGGCATTACAGGAGGCACAATGTCAAGGCCAGTCTCACTGCAGTCTTGCAAGACACACTCTGGAGACAGGGTCCTTCCAGTGAAGTACCTTTAGGCATCGCTGCCGTGGCTGTTTTAGACTCTGGAATTACAAACCAAGGCCCTAAGGTGGCAGTGACGTTAGTGAGAGTTTACAGCTGTGAACAAAAATCCATGGGAAAGTGCATTTTCAAGGTAAAAAGTGCAGATTTCTTCAGTCTTCTGAAAAATCACAATTTGCCATCCCAGAGAAAGGCCTGCTGTTTTCACAGAATCCCAGAATGGTGGGGGTTAGAAGGGACCTCTGGAAATCATCCAGTCCAACGCCCCTGCCAAAGCAGGTCCATCTCGAGCAGGTTGCACAGGATGGCATCCAGGGGGATGTGGAATCTCTCCAGAGAAGGAGACTCCACAACCTCTCTGGGCAGCCTGTCCCAGGGCTCTGGCACCCTCACAGTAAAGAAGACTTTCCTCATCATGAGATGGAACTTCCTTTGTTCCAGTTTGTGCCCCTTGTCCTGTCACTGGGCACCACTGAGAAGTGTCTGGCCCCATCCTCTTGACACCCACCCTTTAGGTATTTATAGACATTGATCAGATCCCCTCTCAGTCTGCTCTTCTCCAGGATGAACAGACCCAGCTCTCTCAGCCTTTCCTCAGCAGAGAGATGCTCCAGTCCTCTCATCATCTTTGTAGCCTCCGCTGGGTTCTCTCCAGTAGTTCCTAGTTCTTTCTTGAACTGGGGAGCCCAAAACTGGACACAGGACTCCAGCTGTGGCCTCCCCAGGGCAGAGTAGAGGGGGAGGAGAATGTCCCTTGACCTGCTGGCCACACTCTTCTGAATGCACCCCAGGAGACCATTGGCCTTCTTGGCCACGAGGGCATATCTCAGTGTTTGCTCCTCTGCCTGCCTTCCGTAACCATGAATAGCAACATCCACCTCCATCACAGAGGAAATGTGATAAACAATGTCTATTAATATGTCTTAATATTTATGACACAGCTGGGTATGATAGCGATGACTAGGAGGAAATCAATAGTTCTGCCTGGGCTTTCACTCCAGATATCACATATTAAACGAGGGCCACTCATCAAAGTGGGCAACAGGATCACACATCAAATCCACACCCCGCAAGGAGCACTACACCCTGGGAACACAGAAATGCCACGGCACAGGATAGTTAGGAAAGTGTGTAATTACATACCATGCCGTGAGGGACAAGCACGTGTGGTCCTGGTATTTCCTGCCCTGGGGGGTTTGACCTTGTGGCATTGGGGTTTGGTTGGGTGTGGGTGGGTGGCCAGTGGGTTGTGTGGGTGTGTGTGGGACATGCATGTTCATATGCCCACGGGGCAGGAAAAGATGCAGGTGAGTGGCATGTAGCTATGTAATAGGCTCATAATTGGCACATCATTTAATTTCATTTGGAAAGCAGAAGAAATGCATTGAAAAGATTTATTGGAAAGCAGATATTAAATTATTTTTTAATTACCTAGAAGGAATTTTTTTGTAATTCTTCCTTTTCCTAACAGCATGCCTTCTCCGGACCATTAAAACAAGAACTTAGGCAAAGTGAACAGGTGCCGGGTGGTATTTTTCATCATCTTTGTCAGAGGCTGATAATTTCATCTGGAATTCTCTCGGCTTTAAATTGGGGTTCTGCTGCCACCTAGCTTAGACAGGCTCCTGAGCTCAGCCAGCTCCCACCGCGCTCCGGGTGGGCAGGGGGTTATGGTTTGCTTCGGAAAACTGGTTGCAAACTGATGCTGTAATGAGGATTCAAAAGTGCAGTTTATGCTCAATTTACAATTAATTCTTCAAGTCCTAGCAACTGTAATTTTTCTGCCTTTTTGTCTCGGTTATGAACATTAGGACAGGAGTTCTCAATCTCCAGCTCAAAATAAATAGCTTTATTACCCAAAAAACAAAGATTGTAATAAAAATCGCCTTTTGCTTACAATGTAATGATTTGTAAATTTTACTTCTATGCGGTGAGGTTATAAAATAGAACCTAAAACATTTTAGATACGAATGTTTGATATGAAGGTGGATTGAAGGCAAAGTTGCTAACTTCAAAAATGTAAATACAATAAAATTTCTATATAAAAATGAGTTCAGCAACGGGCGCTTTCTGGGTATTAGAGTGATTCTGCTGAACTGGATAGATATTTTAACAGTAGAGTGAAGTCCAGTAAGGGAAGAAATCTAGTTGCTTTATCCCCTTTCCCTCTTGTTTTATGTAGAGGTTCGTTTGAGGATTCGACGACCAGGTTTTACACAGCGTGTGTGGTCGAAGCTTTTGCCTATTTGCATTCCAAAGGGATCATTTATAGGGACCTCAAGCCAGAAAACCTCATTCTGGATCATCGAGGTTATGCCAAACTGGTGAGTGCCTGCAACGTCTGGTTTGCAAAAAAAAATTCACCACTGCTATCAGACAACTGGTGTCAGGGTTACAGGAAAACACAGGATTAGCCATAGAGGGTCAGAAACAAAGTCCACTCAGCCCAGGGTCCTTTCTCTGATGGTGGCCATCAGTAGATGCTGAGGTGAGATCAGGGCAAGAGTGTCATCACCCATGACTGGGATGTTTTCCCAACCACTGGCGGACTGAGGCTCAGGGTACAGCTGAGCTGGGAAACACTAATTCTGGTTTGCAATTCAGATCTGTGGTCCTGAAGCAGAAATGTTTTGAGAAAAGCATCAAGAAAAATTCATTCTACTGCTTTGGAGCTACTGAAAGACCAAAACATAATTTGAAAATAGGTGTCTTAAAATATTGGTAGGAGAGGACTTGCATCTGTGGGCTTGATAGGTGAGTGGTGAAGCAAATTTTGCAAGCTCCTGTTTCTGTGTCAGGTCCTTTGTGTAAGCATTAAAAAAGGCAGTCTTAATGGAAATATTAATCATGACCCTGTCATGGCAAAAAATTATCATTATTAATTGCTCTGGGCTGTGTTGCTGAACTGTGCAAATACAGCTTCTTGCTTGAAGAGAGCCACTTGTGATTTAGCACCTGACCTGTGATAGCACATCTTGTGATAACACACCTGACTGATCTCTGCAAACTCCTCTGGGACGATTGCGTAAAGCTCTGCCTGAAACTGCTCTTCCCAGAAGGTCATGGTCCTTCTCGGTGTTGTCCCCCTGCAAGATCAACCTCTGCAACCCAGGATGGTGGCACGTGCAAGACCTCCACCCCCCAAATTAGGGAGTTTCTGATGGGTTTCACTGTATTGCTTTTTTGACTTATATTACTTTTTTGCCTCAGAAATCACTGTAGAGGTGTCCTGCATGTAGGGTACACCCCAAATGCCAGGTGAGACGATGGAGAGGGGGAGGAGAAAAGAAGGACTTCCCTTGGTGGGAGATGCTGGAGGATGTGGGCACTTGGGAAGCCATCAGTGAAAGACAGGGCAACGCACTCCTGAAAAGAACTGTGTCCAAAAGAGGCTGATGCACTTTCTGAGTCACTGGAGGCCAAGGTCTCTGCCTCTTGGCCTGGGGACTCTTCCCTGCCTTTGGGAAGGGAAACCCAGGAGCGATGTCAGTAGTTGGGAACAGTAAGTCAGACCACCTCCATCATGGACTTTTATGGCCTGGTGGCAGCCACCATGTCTCACCATGACACTAAGCCTAATGAATGACATCAGAGTTTATCCTTTGCAGCATTTCACTAAGGCCAGGGAGGGGTCCAAGATGATCAAGAAGATTAGATACAGGACTGTCCTTCTTCCCACTCAAATAGGATCTGGACTGGGGTCTCTGCTGGTCCCATCACCAACCCCCAGCTCCTTAGGCATTTTGATCTCCCTGAAAACATCCGTGATAGCACAAGAAGTGTCCCAGATCTCCTGTGGCACTATAACCATGTAGGATCTTTTGCTCCTGACCAGCTCAAGGTGTAGGAACATCTCCCAGCCATCAAGGGACAGCAGAGCATGCTGCAGACCACAGCTCTGAGCCAGCCCAGCACCTTGCAGGGAAGGGCAGAGGAGGTAGAGCTAAAAATGCAGTAAGCCTATTAACCTCAGCTCTGCCTGGGCCCCAAAGAACAGCTTCAGTTTGTGTCCAGTTTTGGGCCGTCACTACAATAAGGACATTGAGGCACTGGAGCATGTCTCACAGAAGGGCAATGGAGCTGGGGAAGAGTCTGGAGCACAAGTGTGATGAGGAGAAGCTGAGGGAACTGGGGCTGTTGAGCCTGGAGAAAAGAAGGCTGAGAGAAGACCTTCTCACTCTCTACAACTCCCTGAAAGGAGGGTGCAGAGAAGTGGAGGCCAGTCTGTTCAACCAGTTAACAAGTGATAGGACAAGATGAAATGGCCTCAAGTTGCGCCAAGGGAGGTTCAGATTGGGTATGAGGAAAAATTTCTTCACTGAAAGGGTCATCATACACTGGAATGGGCTGCCCAGGGAGGTGGTTGAGTCCCCATCCCTGGAGGGGTTTAAAAGATGGGTAGATGAGGTGCTCAGAGATATGGTTTAGTAGTGGACAGGTATGGTTGGACTCAATGATATCAAAGGTCTTTTTCAACCAAACGATTCTATGATTCAGTTTCCAGTATAATCTGATTTTCTGTGTTTGCCATGCCATGGAGGCACAGCTATAGGGCATGCGGAGGTTTGTGAGCTGGCCAGCATGTTCCAACAGCCTTAAGGGAATTGGGAGAACTGGGCGAACACTTCTACTGCATCACTCTCTAAACTAGGAGAAATCTGAACTTTTCATTAGATGCAAAAATGCTCAGTATTTAGCCTAAATAGTTTGTTGCTCAAGGCTGGGAGTTTAAAAAACAACAAGTCAGTCAAATCAGCCTGAGCTGTGAATGATACGAAGTTACATCTCCCAAGAAGCCCTCAGTGTTGGTATTTGTTCTTCCTCCCTCATGAGAATCTTCCTTTTATATTGCAAAGGATAAATAGACAAAAAGATCATTGTGGTTGCTTGGTTCTGGAAGGACCCATGATAATGCTTTAGTTAGGAGAATATTCCCACCAGGAAACCTCCTTTCTGCTTTGCTTCACTTCAAGAGGAGCAGAGCGCCTGGCTGACATTCTTCCTCGTGCTCTGCCCTGATGGTACTCTGCTCCTTTCCGCAGGTCGATTTTGGCTTTGCAAAGAAAATAGGATTTGGAAAGAAAACATGGACTTTTTGTGGAACCCCAGAGTACGTAGCCCCCGAGATCATCCTGAACAAAGGTCACGACATTTCGGCAGACTACTGGTCACTGGGAATCTTAATGTATGAACTCCTGACTGGCAGGTATGGGCATCGGGGCCGGCGCCACTGCTGAAAATAGATCCCAATATTTCTGCCATTGTCACCCTGATTAGGGGAGGAGAAGGTTCAGAGCTGGTGTGTGCTGCAGTGGCACAGCACTATGCTGCTGCACCTCATAGCTCGTTTTTCCACTTTCAATCACAGCTTCCATGCCAACTTCTCAATGGGTAAGACATGAGCAGGCTTTTTAGGAATTGCTCTGAAATGCCACCGAAAATGAATTTTTGGCCCTGAGTGAGCTGAATGTGGTGGTGGAAGGGTTTGCAATTCAACCAGGGAGGTGCAGTGATGGGTTGCCTCACATCTGAAAAGGAGGAAGTGGACATGACGCCATGGGGACTTGAGTCCCTATATCCATCCCTTTGCCTGTTTATTTTTAAATGTATATATTACTGCTCGTGTTGGCAGTAGTTGCTTCCTGGTACTTCTTCACTTCATCCCCCATTGCTCACTCCCAGGATACAGGAGCTGGGAAAGGATCTGACACCTCAACCCCTGCGGCTGAACCCAGAACTCGGTTCTGTTATTGTTGGTCTGTTCAACCAAGTAACAAGTGACAGGACAAGAGGGAATGACCTCAAGTTGCCCCAGGGGCAGTTGAGATTGGATCTGGGGAAGATTTTCTTTCCTGAAAGGGTTCTCAGGCATTGGAAGGGGTTGCCCAGGGCAGTGGTGGAGTCCCCACCCCTGGAGGGATTGAAGAGTCTTGTAGTGATGAGGGACGTGGGTTAGTCGGGGACTTGTCAGTGTTGGGTTAATGATTGGACCTGATGATCTTAAAGGGCTTTTCCAGTCTCAGCAATTCTGGGATTCCATGGTTCTGTTAATCCGATGGCAACCTCATTAATCCCATGTGAAAGCACGTCACAACATCAGAGTTTAAGCCAGCGAGCGTTGCTCGGACCTTTGTTCCTCAGGCTGTTGGGACATGGGCCATCATGGAAATAAGAGGTTTAGGATGTGCTGCTGCAGAAAACATGACTTTACTTTTTGGTACTTCCCTGCAGCCAGCATCATTGACGTCCAGATGGTATCAGAGCTCCTTGGCTGAGAAGTGGTTAAGGTCATGGGAAGCAAAGCATTGTTAGTTGTCATCAACCTTTTCTCATTTCAGTAGAGTACTATATTTTGCCCTGGATTTTTTTTTTAACCAGTCTTCAATGCTTTTAATTTTTATTTTCTTCTCCCCTCTGAAGTCCTCCTTTCTCAGGCCCAGACCCCATGAAGACCTATAACATCATATTAAGGGGAATAGACATGATTGAATTTCCAAAGAAGATTGCCAAAAATGCTGCTAATTTAATTAAAAAACTATGCAGGTAAGTGCATGAAATACAATCATCTTGATCTTGTTTGCAAAGGAAGGAGTTGCTCAGAAAGATTAGGAAATTAACCGATTTGTTATTTGTTTTATAGGGACAATCCATCAGAAAGACTAGGGAACTTGAAAAACGGAGTGAAAGATATCCAAAAGCACAAGTAAGTGTCTTCTCCACCATCCATCAGGTATAACCCATGGAAACATGCATTTCAAACCCTTAAATTTTCGGAAAAAAAACCCCTTTTTTAAAACACCTTTGGCCTTGCAGTGTGTTTTAGACTCATAACTGAATCTCTATCAGACTTTTTCCCCCCAGTGTTTCAGTACAGATGCTAGCCTTGCCTATGAGCAAAACACCTCTCACGTTGACCGCTACGCTTTAATTACTCTAATGCAGAAAAGTATTTGGAAGCAATCCAACTCTGCCACTGCCTGATTGGATTTTTTTGGTTTGCAGAATCACTTTCCAAAGTTTTCCTCAATTTCCCTTTCCCCACCCCTCCCAACGCTTTCTCCCTACCTGTAATGTTAATTCATCATCCCTTTTATTCTGATGGAGAGAGTTGTTAAGTGATGTCTTCTAAGTTTTCATACTGCTGGAGGGGGATAAGAACAAGTTAGAGACCCATCGCAGAAGCAGGTTATCTCATCCATCCATGCTGGTCCTTCTCTTCTCCCATCCCCAAAGCAAATGGGTGGATGGACGTTTTAGGTGGATGGGTTGAAGGCTGAGCTCAGGGCTCAGCCACCCACCCAAGGTGCCCAAACCAGGAGGAGGACATCCCTGTGCATGCCCTTAGATCCCAATCTCCTATGAAGGAAGGACATCAGGGGTTTCATATGGGAGGGATGAACCCTATAGGAAGGAAAGAGCAGCTGCCAAGACACCTGCAGTGAGGAACAGTTTTCTTCTGAGCACTGTGCCATGGTATCACCACTGGGTTGCTATACACACTTCATTTTCAGTCCCCAAAAACATGTATAAATATGACAGGAAAAATTATTAAGGCTAATTGGACAATTTGAAGAAGATGACTTCAGGTGGTGAAACCCACTATTTAAGCAATTTAAATTTTGTTTTGTGCTACAGAGAGATTTTCACTGTGTGTCTAACTGTTTATTGCCTCCCTTCTAGATGGTTTGAAGGCTTTAACTGGGAAGGGTTACGAAAAGGGACACTGACACCTCCTATAATACCAAGTGTAAGTTTCCCTACTTATTTTCTCCTTCATGGTCTGTAATGTTTTTTTACATTAATGTTGTGAGCTTTGGGCACTAATACACTGTAGTTAAGTGGCAACAGCACATGTTTTATTTCTTCTGAAGGTGCTTGAAGAAGTCACATTAGCGACTTTTCCAGCTATATGTGGTCTCCGGGCAGTCTCTTCCAGGAGAAGGCAGTTTAGGGAGGCCATGACTGCAATGAAATGCCCTTTGCAGCAGGAGCTCAGGGCAGGATCACTCACTACCACACGTTTTTCTCTTCCTCACTTGCTTCACTTGTTCCTTCATCTACTTTTCACATCTCAGTGGAGAGCTGCCGCTTTCACCCCTTCTCTCAGATGTGTCCTCTTTCTTTCTCCTTTATTCTTTCTTCTTTTGACAAGGCAAGTGGGATTTGTATGCCATCTCCCTTTTCTTTTGCCATAACCTTTCCTTCTGTCTTTTCTTTTGTGCTTTTCACCCTTTTTTTCCCTGCATCCGTGTCCTACATGAAAAGCCCTGTTACCGCCTAGTTTATGTTTAACTGGGAGCAGACGCGGAGGGGCAGCTCGACTCATTTTCCTTTGGAGCAAAGCTCTTCCTTTGATGTCTTTGTGAGCTCTTTACCCACAAAGCCTGCCGCAAAGGGAAACCAAACAGGATTAGCTGATCGAAATTACCTTGGCCCCTTCTGTTCTGCAGCCTCCCCTCCTTGTTTCAACTTAATCCCTTTCTCTCCCTGCCTCTCCTGTGGGATCACTGAGAGAATGACGTTAGCAATCGTGTTTAATTGCACCCCGTTGCTCCATCCGCCCTTGGTCCTGCACCTCCTGCAGCAGCGGCAGGCATGGCTCCAGGGCTAAATCTGCCGTCCTAAAGTTTTCTTAACAACTAGGAAAGAGCAAGAGGGTTTTGCATCCCCCTCCACCCTTTTGCCCCATGGGCATTTGGTAGGAGAAAGCAGGACTTTACAAATATCTGCCTCAAGCAGGATGCCTAAAGAATATATAAATGTTTCATGAATCTAAACTGTGTTTTTTTCTGTTAAGCTTCTTTGTAATGACTATTAATTTGCCAGTAGTATTGTTCACCACATTTCAAGACAGACAATAAAATCAAGTTTGCTCCTTTACATCCAGTTTCACAGAATCACAGAATCACAGAATCACAGAATCACAGAATCACAGAATCACAGAATCACAGAATCACAGAATCACAGAATCACAGAATCACAGAATCACAGAATCACAGAATCACAGAATCACAGAATCACAGATTGAATGTCTCCAGAGAAGGAGACTCCACAACCTCCCTGGGCAGCCTGTTCCAGTGCTCTGTCACCCTCACTGTAAAGAAGTTTTTTCTCAAGTTCCTGTGTCTCTGACAGTGAAGAACTGCAGGCCACGTAGATGACCAGGACCTCCAAGCTGTGGGGAATCACACACAATAGCGTTGGTGTCATATAAAGTCAATCAGCAGAGTAACAACTCATACAACCTTTCTTCCCAAAATCATGGTTCTTCTAAGAAAAAGAAAACCCTCTACATTTGAGGTGTTGGATATACTCAGCCATTTTATTTTGTCAGATTAATGCAAAAGGCAATCCATTTCCCGAAGCAGGACTTAATTCCCTTAGAGCCTCACCTAACCAGAGCTCAACCAACCATGCCTGCTCTGCTAGATGTTCCCAGAGTGGACAGCTGCAGAAGAGCCCCAGGGAGCTCCACAGATGTTTTCCCCCATGCAGTCCACTTACACACTGTCCATCACTGCTGAGTGGCTTTTGCAAGGTGCTCCAGCTCGTGCGCATCCTCCTTGAATGGCCACACCAATTGCATCTCTTGTACTTTGGCAGCTGGTATCTTGTTCATATGTCTCCAATGCTTCTGCTCCCCGAGGGAGAGCTCACATGGGGTGGGCTGAGAGAAGCAGAAGGATGTGGTCCAGCCCATGGGACTGTGGAGGAGGGCGAGTGTGGAGCACCCCAAGGGTGAAGGCTCTCCATCCTAACAGTGCCAGCACCAACAAAGTAAACAGATCCAGATAACTCAGCAGAAATTAAATTACAGTATTCAGTACAGAGTGAAGCATCTCATCACTCTACAGTACTCCACTAAGCTTTTACAGGAGTTTTTTTTCAAGAGCTTTTTTTCATGAGTTGGGTGTACAAGTATCTTAATTTTCCCCAAGATGTTTTCAGCAAGCAGGAAAAAGCTGATGCAGCAAATTAAATTTAGATCTGAAGTTGGAGCTCTTATTGATCAAATAGTCTTTTCCCAAGGCTTATTGCAGCATCCAGCATCAAACATCTGAACTGTAGGCTGGGCTCCAACTGTGGCTTCTCCATCATCTGTGCAAGTGAAACAGCTCAAAAATATGGCCAATGTTTCCTGCCTAGCACTCCTATGGCAAGTGTGGTCTGCTCCAGCCTGCACTGGCTACTTGATGTACAGCTTAAAGCACTGGTGTGCTCTAGTAAGACACTGATTATTTCAGTCTGGAGGAGCTAGTGGCCTGGTTTTGTGTTGTTTCATTTTTTTAAATGGCATTGAACGTGTCAGGGTCTCGTTGTAAGAGACTTTCAGTTGCCATCATAAAGCAAAAAAATGAGAAATTATCTAGCTATGGAAGATTTTAAATTATGTGATTTCCAAAAAAGAAACATACTTGGCCTTCATCCTAGGGAGGTGGGTTTCTCTGGTAGGCTCTGTAGGCTGAGCAATACTTGTCAGGAAACTTGAAGGTGGCAGGGCCCAGCTGACAGCCTCAAATTCAGGATCCTGGAGCCCTAACTTAGAAATCCTGGGTTTTGGGAGACCCAGGACTTTTCTAAGTCTTTTTGGCCAACCTTGTAAGCATGGGTAGGACAGTTGTTCTTGAACTAGGGGCCCTGGAGGGCCTGGATCATTACAGCAGGGCAGCTGTGGGAAGACCTCCTGGGTTTCAGCAAAAAGTTGTTGAATGTGGAACTTTCCTTTCTTGCTGCAGTTAGTGATGATGAGTGCTTTTGAATGATGACAGCTGCGAGCTGGAGAGGGGAATGTCTGCAGAGGTCCACATTGATAACCATCCCCTTTTTCTCACTCTCTTCTTTCTGCAGGTTGCGTCTCCAACAGACACAAGCAATTTTGACAGCTTCCCGGAGGACAGTGATGAACCACCCCCTGATGACAACTCAGGATGGGACATAGATTTTTAATGTATTTCTCTTACCTGCTTCTGCCTTGCTGAAGACAGCTTCCTGGGATGTGGCTGCCAGCGAAACGGAAAGAATTGGGGAGGATTAGTGCTCGGGGTCACCATGATGCCTTGATTGATGCTGCTACAGTAACTACAGTGGCATTAGGACTTATTGCTTAGATGACAATAGTGCTCTTCATGTTTTATGTTCAAACTTAAAATAGCAGTTGACATGGTGGTCCTGACGCAAAGCCTTTCACCAGTAAAGAAGTATGTTTTCTATCACTGCAACGATCTTGCTACGCTCTTAATTACAAAAGTCGAGAGATAACATAGTGTAAGATGCACTTAATTCTTGCTGCAAGGTACTGGCTTTATCAGTAGGATCAATAGGAATTTATTAAGTGCTGTAGCTAAATACGGAGCAGGATTCCGGCTACTCCCACCCTCCAAACTCTAGGTCTTCTACTGGAGGCCAGTGTAGGAGCAAAGGAGGACCGCAACAGTACTGGTCAAAGAGTTCACATCAAAGCAGTGGTAATATTTATCCTTTTTCTTTCCGAGCAGTATTCTTGACAAGACTGAATGTTACCTTTCCTCTTTCTTTTTGAGAATTTTTTTTTTAGCCTGGTAAAACAAAAGCACAACTGCTCTAGATCCTGTTAAGGCAGATATGGGTCGCTTCTCTCTTCAGCTGAGAACGTACTGTAACATGATGTTTGGGTTTGGGTTTTTTTTCTTTCCCTGGGTACAAATACATAACTGCATGGAAAAAAATCATAAAATTAATCCATTTTACATATAAAATAGTGCTTAAATAATGGTCCTGTAATAAAGCGACAGCAGCCCACTGGTCTTATTGATTAGCATAAAATTAAGCTTAATTTTTACCTTTTTAGAACCCAAAGGGAAACCGTAAGACCCATAATGTACTTTATAGGTGCTATGTACATCTTTTGTCTGTGAATATAAATTGAGTCAACCACCATTTCAGAAATATGTAGCAAGACACATTGTTCTCCATCATGCCCTTAGGTGACTTTACGTCTCCATGTCTGCATCTCTTCAGTGTTTAGTGCAAAGCTAATTAAAATAAAAAGTGGTACAGGGCCAGTTTACTGGCTCTGTTTGTAATATTGCCTATAAAAGTGTAATCTTAATGCCTCACCAGACTAAGGAGCTCCACAGGAAAGTCAGTGGAATTAAATGGAAAACCAATATTGGGTGTGTTTGTGCGAGGTCTCTGTGTCTCCAGTGGACCAGGTCCCCAGTGACTGTGTTTAAGGCATGGGGATGGCTAGAGCCAAGTCAGCTCCTATGAAAAAAAGAGCCAGGGAAAACAATATTATCACATGCACGCTTTTCCCCCACTTCCGCTGCTTTTCCTTTGCTTTAGTGCAGTCTCTTCCAATTTGGAGGATGTAACAGAGGAATCCTGTCCCTGATGCCTGCCTGTTGCCTGTCCATGGGACTAAAAGTTTATGAGCTTTCAGTCTCCAGAACAAACCCCGTCCCCCAAAATTACCAGATGCTGCCCCATTTCATCTCACAGCTGTCAAGAGCTGTTGTATGTGCTGGAAGTCAAAAGACTGACTTTTGCTGAGAAGTCATTTATATGACTACATGGTACGTGGAAAATGTATGTTTTAATAGTAAAAAAATTGTTTCCCCAATGCTAGATCCCAACTCTTTCCAATGTTCCTAATGAAAGTAACTTTATAGAGCCTATTAAAAAGATACTTTCTCCCCTTCTTTGATGGCATCGACAATGTTGTCTGCCAGCAAACTGAAGAGCTTGGTTATCACGACTCCTTTGAACTGGTTTGTGTCGCTAAATTTCCTTCCTGATTTTTCCAAAGGATGAGGCGACACCATGGGCACAGTAACTTCTGGTTATTTCCGCTATTCATTAATCATTAAAGCTTTTTTATCTTGAAAACCATCAGGAAAAGATGGGAACTAGATCTACTTGGAATTACTGGTGTATGGCAAACACAGGCTCACTTTTCAGCCTTTCTCTGAGGGATGGAGGACACTGAAAGCCAGTGCTGGATACCAGGGCTGAAATAATCACCAGGCATAAAATAATCACCAAATGAAATAATCACCAAATTCTTTACACGCGTCCCCCTGGTTTTTCATTCACTCAACAGATGTGGCAACATCGGAGGAAAAAACTTGTTGAGTTTGGTAACTTTCTGTAGAAGAACATAGAGAAGAGTTTGTCCCAAAATGACAATATTCCGTAGCTGAGATGCAGTTGTCAAGTCAAGGGGTTGCTGGGAGGAAAAATAATCATGATGATTTTGGAATGCAACCTGAAAACATTATGGAAAGAAGGTTTTAAAATGGGCTGATGAGTTATTTTCCTTTTTTCTGTCCCATTTCCCTTGTGCCAAGCATGGTAATTAATACCTGCAGCGTGCGGCATGCGCTGTACTGAATACAAGTTTATTTTGCTATCAAACACCTCACTCGACTTTCATCACCTTTCCTAAGCATACTTTAAACAACACACTCAGTACGTACATGATAAACACCTTCAGTTATAAGTAAGATATTTGAGTTGCATTATATATATATATATATATATATATTCACAGCAAGGGATTGCCTCTGTGTTTGCACTTCCTGTCCTTTCTTCTTTGTCTCCTTTTTTAATATATGGGACGACGGCATATTTACATAAGGGGACATCAGCTTCCCATATTTAAAGTGCGTGTACAAAGGTTGGTGTCATTAAGACCCATATGATCTGTAGCTTCTCACAGTGCTGCGTTGCCCATCGCAAACTCTTCTTTAACAACAGGACCACAAGCGAATATTTATGTAAATAGGTATTTTCGTGTTGATATTTCGTGGTACACATAATAACATTTTCTTTTGGAGTTCCATGGCATTACTACTTCATTTTCTTATTTGTAATGTAATGTTTTTAGATCAAGGTAGACTTGAATTAATGTCATAATTGTCAGTATTATTAAACTTTATGTCAACTGTACTGTTCACTCATCTGTCCCATAGTTTTAGAACATGACTAGCTATCTGGCATTGTTGCAAGTGCCTTAAATCCATGGCATCCTAGGAAAAAAAAAATTACAAATTTGGTGTTTATGCTGCATGACAAAGACAAACACACCTCAAAATGTCGTCCTTTCTTAGCTTGCTGCGTTTTACAGTTCTTTCTGCTACCGATTTCTAAGCCTTTATTATATACTATTGATGAATTACAGAAATGATGAAGTCGTTCTCTTATTTCTGTTCAATGTACCAGAGCTGTGTATCTGTTAATGAGATACAGAGTCATTTCTGTGAAATGTATAAATGTTCTGTGCGGGTCAAATTAATCTATGACATCCTAGCAGTCCGTAGACAGGTATTCCTGTTTTGCTAAGCTGTGCAGATTCAACCCATTATGCTGTCCAGCGCCAACTTCCCGTCTTACACAAACCCTGTTAGAAATCTCCCGCCTGGAAAAACAAACAAACAAAAAAACGACGAGCAATTCGGTGTGTGACCTGACCTGCGTTTTTTGACCTGAAATCCTGACACGAAGGTGTAGCTTATTGGCACCACTCAACAAAACAGGATCCATGCTTTTCCCCCACCCCAACTCCTTCTATATGCAACCCCCATGGGGACCAGCCTTCAGCGCTCCGGCAGAGCCGAGCCGGAAAGCTGGGAGCTCCTTGTCCCCCGCAGCTCCGCAGCCGTGTAAACCAAGTGTAATGCTGGGACTGGGGCGGTTTTAGGGCTTTACCGGCAAAAGGAGAAATTCTCATTTGGAGGTGCCTGTTGTCCTGAGTCCCAGCTTAACGCTGTTTTTACACTGGCCCTTTGTTTTATATTCTTGTTTTCTCCAGATTTCTTCTTACATAAAAGAGGTTTTGTTTGTCAGACAAATGTTGGTCATCCACCGGTTGTCGGCCGGTTGCACTCTTTTGGTGTACATTTAAGAACTTTTTTTCATCCACTTTAACCGCTTTTGTTTTGCTCTGTATTTTCCCTGCAGCTGTAATTGCCGAGTGCCTGTTGTATACTTTATAGAGTTGAAATAAAAATAATTACTTTTGAATGGTGTGTAGATATCTTTCCTCCATGGCAGAAGCCAAGGTCAGGAGAGTGTTTCTGCTTACTGATTAAATCAGATTTTTTCTTCTCATTTATGACGATACACAGTAAGAGAGAACCAACCGGGATGTATGGTGCTTATAGATTAGTATCGGGTCCCTGGCTCGTAGCTTCATCCAGATTTTCTGCAGGATGTGAAGGCAAATGGATGCAGTTACTGTACTTTAGTGCTTATTTGAGCCCCGAGCAGCCTGTCCAAAGGGGTCCAAGGCTTCAAGCAGGGGTGGCACCTGGTGACCCTTCCCAGTTTGTTTCCAACTCAAATTATTCTGTGAGCACAATAAGCAATAAGCACATTTGCAGCATGTTGACTCTTCAGGGATGAAAAGCTCACTTGGTGTTTTGATTGCTGCCAATAGAAGTGAGTCCAGAGCACGCAGCTGGGAAGGGATTGTGTTTCCAACGTGAGTTGCATCATCCCTAGATGGGATGTGACTGTGAACACCCGTGTCAAAAAATGATGATGTCCTTGTCATCACTGTCCCTCTCAGTTAATGCTGAGAGGTGGTGTAAGAGGTCCTGGGCTCAACACCAGCATCTCCAGCTTGACCTGGACAGGCTGGAGAGGTGGGCAGAGAGGAACCTCATAAAGTTCAACAAAGGCAAGTTTAGGGTCCTGCATCTGGGGAGGGACAACTGCAGGCACCAGTACAGATTGGGGGTTAATCTGCTGAAAAGCAGCCTTGCAGAGAAGGACG